TGGTAAATTGTAGTCAATGCCATGAGACAAAGTGTATGTGAACTGCTGTATGGAAAGTGAATTCGCTCTGTAAACTTTCACCCAAATCCCAATTAAAAAAAAAAAGAAAGAAAGAAAGAAAGAAAGAACAACAACAATGAAGGATACATGAATCATCTCACAATGTGATTGAGCATGGAGGACATTATGCTGAGTGAAATAAGTCAATCGCAGAAGGACAAATATTCTATGACCCCATTACTGTAAAAAGAAAAGGAAGAGTTTGCTTAAGGAAGGGACTCACTTTGTAGGTTACCAGGGAGGGGAAGGAAGGAGAGGCAATCATTTCGGGCTTGTTGGGGGCCACACACACTGAGGTGGGTAAGAAGAGGGATGGTATGTATGCAAAGAGTCTGTGACCACAATGATAACATCGGGGAAAGGGAGGACACCAAATTGTGCACATAAGATACAGATGACAGAGGCTAATAATAGCAGTATATCCACAATACTGCATTACCATTAACATGAAAACACCAGGCTAGAGATAAACACATAAACATCTGAGAAGATCAGATGGGGGTCAGGGAACAGGATTATGCTCTAGGCCATGGATAGACTCAGCTGAGGCTAATCTTGCACAGGTATCAGTGATTCAAAATACCCACAATCCTCACAGAAACAACAGAAGACAGGCACAGAGCAATCCCTCACAGACAGCCAGACACTGTGGGAGACAGATCCAATGGACTTACTGACTCAGGACCATAGTACTGGGGGACACCAGACTCAACTGGCGTAACAAAATACATAAAAATTTTGCTCCACAACCTGCATCGGTGAGTAGCAACTAGGGTCTTAAAAGTTTTCAAGCGGCCATCTAAAATGCAGCTAATGGTCTCTTATCGTTGGAAGCAAAGTAGAGTGCAAAAAACAAGGGCATTTGGAAACAATCAGCTCTAGGACATGATGGACCTCAAGACCAGAACTAGATGGTGCCCAGCTATCAATGCCAACCACTCAGAAGGGATCAAAACTGGAGATCCTGTATGGAGTGGAAGGAAAAATGTGGAAAAAAATTCAAAAACCAAATAAAGACCAGAATTACTGGTCAGATGGAGTTTGGTGAGACCCCCAATACTAAATAAGACATACACACAGACCACTCAACCCAGAGTGACGCACCCACATACCCTGTGAAGATACATTCCTTGGAGCAATTCACCACAGGGACCAGAGGGGCAATATTTGCACTGAGGAAATGCAGGATACACAAGAGTGAATAACTAAGAATGCCGCGGTGTGAGGGGTAAGGGAAGGGAGAGGAGAGTGGGTTAGAGTTGGGGATGAAAAAAAGGAGAAGAAGAAAGAATAAGCACAGAACTGGTTCCTATGAGGTGAAGATCAGTCATAACTCCACTCACTATCTTCTCCACTATTTCTAACACCAACAGTTCCCCCTATAGCACTTTCTCCTCTCTTGGGTTTGACAATTCCTTACAATGGCCACACAGAACTCACAGACCATATGCAGAGTTATGTGATTTATTAGGGAGGTAACAAGATACAACTGGAGATCAGGATCAATTTGGAAGTAAGTAGCAAGACACAATTAAGATGCAATTGGTCAGTCAGGACAGCTTTCTCACAGGATAATCTGTGGAGCAAAATATTCCTTGGTGATGCTTTTCGTTTTTATTGTGATTTGGGTGGAAGTTTACAGAGCAGACTGGTTTTCCATTCAATAATCCATACACATGCCATCTTCCAACATTTACTACAATCCTCACACTGCAACAGACTCTTTCCACTCAAGCTGAACAGGGGTGAGAAGGTAAATGGTATGACGTGCACAAATATATGTAAGACTGACAGAGGCTATATCTACCTATATATTTATATTCACAGCAAAGATATCCATGAATGGAGTAGAGAATAGAAGGAACAAAGTTATGAAAACGTCTTAGTCATAAACACCTTGAGGGAATGAGTTGCTGGGTATGAAGGCTCAGGGCCATAGTCTAGGGGTACATTAAGGTATATTGGCATAACACAGTCCACAAAGACAATGTTCTACACTTCACATTGGTGAGTAGCGACTGGGGTCTTAAAGCTTGTGAGTGACCATCTAAGGTGCAACTACTGGTATCTCCCTATCCAGAGCAAAGTGTGAAGAAAATTACAGAGTCAGGAAACAATTAGTCTAAAGGATTCATGGAACATACGAACTTCAGCCTCCATAACCCTGAGACCAGAAGTAGATGGTGCCTGGACACCACAGCTTACCACTCCAAAAGGGATCACGATAAGAGGTCTCAGATAGAGGGAAATCTAATGCAATTCTTGATGACTGCCTTGGACAGTTTTCTGTTGTCAGAGCTGCTCTTTGTGTGTATGTTGTACCACTGGCTCTCTCCACCATCAACCCCTCTGCTGCTAAATGGTGTAGCTCAAAGCCAGTATAGCACTGTTCTCAGGGGCTCTCTGACATTAGGGTTCTCTACCATCAGCTGCTCCACTGCTAAATGGCTTAGCTCACAGCCACTGCAGCAGGTTGCTCAGATCTTAGCTGCTTTCTACATCAGGCCTCTCGGCCATCATGGCTCTTTGTTGTCAGATTTTCTGCCATCAGCCTCTAACTGGCCCAGATCATAACCAGTGCAACAGCATGCTCAGCTCTCTTAAGATACTCTGCGTGGTCAGACCTCTCCACTGTGAGGCCTGTGCACTGCCAGTCTTTCTGCCGTCGGCTGCTCCACTGTTAACTGGCCCAGCTCACAGTCAGTGTAGCAGCTTCATGATCATTCAGCTCCCATGTGGCTCTAGTTCACTGTCACCCTGGCCCTTAGCCATTAAGAAGGTATCCCAGAAAAAATCTCTACTGTATGCATTTATATTTCCTGATTCTCATCAGGTGCAAGGCAGAGCTTCCTCCAAAATAGCAGTGTTCACCCAATCCTCAATTACCCATGAGATGCCAATCACCTCAGGTCTTTTTAACCAGGCCAGGCTGGACAAAAGTATGGAACCATCAAGTTGTGTACACCTCACCCAGGGAATGTCAACAACCCAGGGAATCCCAGG